TAAGATTTAAAAACTGTCATAACACTTACACAATCAAGTGTTTTTGCAAACAATCGTAGTGGTGAGGTATTGCTCCGGTACTTCTCACGAAGATTTAAAATCACACACCATGCATCCAACACCTTCTTTGAAATGTGTTTCAATATGTCCAGACTACAAATATCTTCTCTACTTAACCAAAACTTACCCTTTTTAAAAACAACTTCCTCCCTGCGAATGTAGAGAACATTGAACAAATAAACATCTAGCTATTACATATTTAGACACAAAAAACATCATTCGCATCGTTGTTTACATCATACCTTGGAGCACTACTGTTTTTAAAGATCCATCTCCCCAATCTCTTTTCCACAGTACTCAAACCATCATTCAAATCCACTGCTCTTGTCACGTACGGAGACCGTAGAGATTCTGCTGGTTTAATTACCCGAGCGGGTTTCAGCTGTTCATTTCGCTTTTCTAGCTCCTACACATCATTAACATAGCAGTTTCATTACATATTCACTAGGACTCCAATACTAAATGACCATTTTAACACAATAAACATTAGTCAGAATGCTCAAAAAAATTGAACCAATTAACTATTACACTCACACTTTTAAAAGGCAGTGCCTCTCCCAAAACATTATCCATCATGCCCTCTTCATTTTCCTTGACCTGTGCATATACCAACTACCATCACACCCATTCATCTAATTTAATAATCAAAATTCAAATAATACACATACTACTGATGTATCATGTCTTCTTATGGCAGCACTGGCAGACCCTTGGCCACATGCTTCCCCACCTTTCTAAAATGCAAAGAAAAAGTGATCAAAAACATTGTCTATTACACTCATTCATAATAGAAAAGTCATGCATACACGAAAACATTAATTAACACATTACACACCGTATGCAAGTTAGTTCCAGGTTCACCACACCCTCTCGGTTCATTCGAAGCATTGGCGATTTCCTGATTCACATTACTAACTCCAAGCATAGGGGTAAATGGACTGTTGCTGCAATTACCAACATCAACCACATGGTGATCACCACCTCCTTGCAAGGCACCATCCTGTGTGATGCCAAGGCTAAAGGAGGGTATATCAGCCACCATCTGCTTGAACTTCCTCCTCGCCAACTCTGCCTCCTCTGATGCAACCAACTTAGAGATATTTGAAGGATCGCTCCAAATGAACTCATCATAAGACAATTCAGAAAATGCACATTCCGCAGGCTGCACACCATCTTTTGGATTTTTATTCACTAATCCCAGTAACCTTCCAGCAGCAATCTGCAATTCCACATAAACATCGTTCTTCATCGCATCAGCTGGTGCACCCTCCATTAACGACATTAACTCCACGACTGTCTTTGCCAGCATCTTACCCTTTTCTGCAAACTTTTTAAGAAAAACCTGATGCATAATGAATCATAATATAAGAAAGTATGTGTATTATCAATAAAAATAAAGGGCATGTTCAGTGCATTTTCACTGTAACATCTAACTTGCTACCTTCAAGACATCACCATCCTCATCTCGCATCTCAGTCTGCTGAGTGCCTTCTCTCATAATAGAATCTTTCTCTCCTCGAACCTCAATGCCTTCTGCCCCCTTTGCATTGTCATCCGCGTTGTTTTCCTCAGCTACAGATTTCACACACACATACTTTCCATCGTCAAATCCCAAACCAAATCCACAAGCCTTCACTTCTTTATTCTCTCTATCCCTAAGTATCTTTGATGTCCAGCCAACAAAAGCAAGTGCTGTCCTCTCCACATCCCTATTGTAAAGAACCACCCTATCAACATAGAAAACCTACAACGTAGAGAAAAAATTAGCTACATGCAAAACAAATTCAATAAAGTATGTATACAAATTTAGTATAGTGCATGTGAACCATACCATTAGAAACATCAATGGTCCTGTGAAGTATTTACTCTTTCCATCCTCCCATCTGATTGCACTGTCTATCAATGTCCTGTGCACATATTCACACCAATTCAATCTCACTACTGAATCAATGTTAGCTATGTTCTTCAACACAGCAGGGTTAACGTAACCATGGCTTGGAGTATCTACGAGAAGTGCCACTACCAACAACACAAAATAGCGAACAAACCACACCCCACCCTCCTCGTATGTCAACAGCTTCTGACCCAACTCCAACGGCGTTATCCTATTATCCTTCTTGCCAAATTCTGCTCTCCACTCCTCAACCAAGCTACATTTCTCACTCCTTGCTTTGTTACTTATCTTAATATTTCCCCTCGGCAAGCCCAACACATGCTCAACATCTTCTATGCTGATATGCAATCTGACATGCTTTGGAAGCTCAAG